TGCCAGCTTATACCAGCACTGGAAATGTTATGAAGGATATATACATGATATATGTTTTTCTCCAAACCTTTTTTCTTTCTTTTTTTTTTTGCTGTTGGGAAAGAAAAAAAGCTATGTATAATAAAATATTTGCAGATGGGTAATTTGACCTCAGACAATCTTTTACGTCTCTTTCTGATCCATGTTGACATCTGCTGGCAACAAATGTGAACTGCAACACCGTCTTTCCCCTTAGAACAACCTGAACTTAAAATGTCAATTGTTTTTAAGGGGTTTTTGGGGGTAGAAAAGAGGAAATATTGGAATACAGTTTTTAAAAACGTGAAATAAGAAGGTGCAGATATTTTTTCTGTCTGCTGCCTGTCTACAAAAAGCACTTACAAATTCAAAAAAGCTATTACATGATATGTCTATTACATAATATACATAAGAATTAATCGTTGTATTTCAGTGTAATCTGTCACGATTTAGCTTGAATGGCTTGTTCAGTTGGACTGTTTGCAGTGTAACATTCCTAAAAACGTTTCACTGGACCTCCGCGGGCGGCAGATCCATCCAAAGATGCGTGTGCAGGTTTCCTCCACAGTGCCTTGTTGTATATGATGTACACTTTTTTTTCATGTGTGGGTTCTTTTTTTGGTATATGTGCAATGTTATATATACTTTAATCATGTGGCTGTACATTTTATATTGTAAGTCTTTGCCTTCTATTTTTTTCTCCTGAATCCTGATCAGATGGCAGTTTTCCCAAGCTAACAAATCTTGTATTTTTCTCTAAACAACTATCTGACAGTGGATCTTTGACACAATGTTTTGTGTGTGTGGGGGGGGGGGGGTTTCCTCCTAGCTGTAATTAGTGTTATGTGCTGAACTGATGAATCTAACAATAAATCGTTACACTTTTGGTCTCAAGTGACCGTTTCGTTTTTCCTGAATATTAAAAAAAAAGTTTAGTTTAAGAAAGTTAACGTGACAACCAATGGCACACATCCAAGAACCTAAAAAAGGCCACAAACAAATACACCTCACCAACAGCAGCTACTTTTTTCCCTTTCTACTTATCATCACCATGTATATATCTCACATCCTTTAGTTGATCTCAAGGGTACTTCACTTCAGTAACCAGTCAGGTCACTTCCTCTTACACTCAACTTCCACCACCTTGGTTCCTAATCTTTCCTCAGCTGAACTGGAAAAACTCATTCATGCATTTGTGTCATCACGCTTAGATTACTGTAATTCCCTGTTTACTAGCTTGAATAAATCATCTCTTTCTCGCCTCCAAGCTATACAAAACGCAGCAGCCAGACTACTAACTCGCTCTACCAAGCGTGTTCACATTACTCCCATCTTATATTCTTTACATTGGCTCCCGATAGAGTTTAGAATTCGCTTTAAAATTCTTGTTTTAACATACAGAGCACTAAATGGCCAGGCTCCAGATTACTTATCCAAGCTTCTTATAAAATACAGTGCTGCTCGTCAGTCTCTTAGTTGTTCCCCGTACACGACTGAAGACAAAAGGGGGCGGAGCCTTTCAGTCTGTTGCACCAAGGCTGTGGAACAGTTTACCACTACAATTACGTTTGCTTGACTCTGTGGATTCATTTAAAAAACAGTTAAAAACTCTTCTGTTCAAACAAGCCTTTTGTTGATCTACATATTTTATATTTTTTACATTATTTACATTTGATCTTTTACATTGTATATAATGTCTATTGATTTTATTGTTTATTTTAATATTTGTGTACAGCGCTTTGTGAAAAGCGCTTAATAAATAAAATTTACTTACTTACACTTACTAATCTTGGTTGGGGGTGATGACAACATCTCCCCCCTGACCTGTGGTCCTGGCTCCCCCTTGCCGTAGCATGTGTGTTGTACCTTGTCAATCTCTAGCTGTGAGAGCCAAATGTTGAATTGAACTTGCGACTTCTACACCAAAGGTGTGTAGTCTTACCACTACGCTATCCAGCTGCTAGCTTGCTCTATATGTATGTATCTATATATCTATATAGATAGAGAGATAAGATCAGTATTAATCACATACCTAACTAGAGCAATCTGGAACAGCGCTTTTGTTGCAGAAGTCAGTTAGTTGTGGTCATAGTTCTTCAGCATGTAGCTTGCACTGCAGAAGCATAAATGGAGTAACATTTTTTTAAGTGACAGGTAATTTAAAATGCAACATTTCTCACAGCTCAATATCAGCTAACACACAAAATGTTTGTGTAGTTTGTTACACAGCTAATTTTGCTAACTGTGGTAAAGTTTACAGCAATGCACTAAGTTGGAGTGGGGCGGAGCAGCTGTGCTGTTCATGGTCAATGTTAAGTTACTGCTTTTTAGTTTTAGTTTGACTTCAAGTACATTTCTGAGCTTGTACTTTTGCACTTTTACTTGAGTAAAGACTGCTGTTATTTCAACACCAGTATCTGTACTTAAGTGAAGAATGTCTGATATTTCGCCACCTATTGATGTTACACTGTCTGATCAGTGTTCCCAAGGATGATTGCACATCTGTCCACACAATAATGTCACCAGCCCAGCTGTCATAAATAACATTTCTGTGACAATATGCAGTAGTGTTCTTTGGTCTAGATGAGCAAAAACGATACCTCTGATCACTGGGGGTTTGACTTCATCTCTTGTAACGATGCCACACACATGGCATCCTGCAGCAGATACTCCAAACCAATATGACGTCAGGCAAATAACTCGCACAGCTTTGTATCTATAAATATTCTTTATACACTACATCCATGTTACAGTCAAAACAAATAGAAATACAGCCAACAGCAAAAGTCACATTCAAGTCATTTCTGTGCTGCGCATTGCAACGTCGACACCCAGCCTCCTAAGGCACCAAAAAAAGTAAATGACTCGTAGGTCAAGAACAGATTAGCCCATGGCCCAAACATCACAGGGCTCATGGAAGCTCAAAAGAATGGTTTACAGACAGGGAAAAACACAATTTCCAATAGCTATATTTATACTGGCACAAACCATCTGAGGATCAGTCCTTTGAGGCAAACACTGCCATGCTGAACAGATGTCACTTTGCCAGCTTATACCAGCACTGGAAATGTTATGAATGACAATGAAATTAAAAAAAGGGGGAACAGGGGGGGTCACGTTATGGCCCCATGTCATAATTTAAATTGTGTTTATGTACATTGGGTGTCTGCCCCTTCATCCCTGGGTCCAACCATTTCTGCTTACCCATTATGTTGAGTTCTATGTGGCACCTGGTGATTGGACGGGAGACTGATGGTAGCTCCTTTAAATTAGAGACCTATTAGGCCGGCCTCTCTCCTCCTTCCTCCTAAGAATTGATAAGCATAGAAAGCCATTTCTAGAGTGGATAGAGATCTAGTTCTTTATGTCTAAAAATTATCTTAGATATTCCCTCCAGGAAGCATAGGTGTGGGAAGCATTTTTCTTTTTCTTTGGCCTCGTGCACACCCTGATATTGTCTACATTAATAGATAAATAAATCTCTTCTTTCTGGAGTGCAATTCTGCCGTGGCACTCTTCAGTCCTTTAGATTGGTGAAAAATGCTTCTTTTCACTTTTTATGCTACACCCATGATTCTTCTAGGACTGAGTGTAACATCATGGGGGCTCGTCCGGGATTTGGACCTCTTATACCCAAAGCAAGAATCACATCCTTAAACCAGCATTAAATATTTGCTGGATCATTTTTTTCAATATCATTTTGACATCAGGTTTTTGTGCTCATATGACATGTATCATAATTCCTGCATCCCTGTCTGTCAAATCCTTTCATCGGCATAAAACATAAAGCAGGAAATCTGGTTGTACAGTTACAAAGCTCAGAGACCCTGCTTAAAGTTAAAAGCTATACATGATTCCTAAGTACAGCTCTGAACCTAGAACACCTTTGTGTTAGCAGTCCTGCAATGATGCATTAACAATATAGCACTTTTAAATGCTTCTTGATACACTGAACATTAGCATGCATGAATGCTAATTTTAATTCAGTTTATGTGCCAATGCTAGCATGTCGTAATAACAGTACATTGTAACACTGATTTTCAGCAGCTGACAGTGTGTCCAAAAATAGCCGACCCATGAAGAAGAAGAAGAAATAAAGGGGGTGATGCCTATATGGCTCCCATATTGGAAGACTTGCTTCTTGAAAAAAGTTCATAAAATTCACTTTGTCTTCAGTCTGATCAACGCCTGGCAGTATACGTGTAAGACTGACAAACATTAGAAATAGAATCATCTCTTTCCCTTTCCATCCTTCTGGATGTTTAATGACTACAGCATCCTCGGGTTTTAGTATTAATTTTGTACAAATTACAAACTGTAAGCCAACTAAGAAAATTGCTGTCCCAGTTTAATCTGGGCCATCATCTCATCTTCTTTATATTTTTCTTTATATTTTGCTTCCAAGGAACCAGACTTCCTTATATTTGTAAGGTATTTGTAAGGTCTTTCAAAGTTTTTCTTTGAACATTTTCTGCTTATTCACTATTTTCACTCTAGTTCTTGTACCAGAAAATTTTCAGAGAAATGTTGTTGTTGTTGTGGAGCCATTTTACACTGACCTATGAATGATTAGAGCATTAATAAGGCATCTAAGATACAAGTTTAAATTGTAAGTTTAGACACTTTGCAACTAGGAACCTCTCCCAAAACACATCATTTGTTGTTGATTTGTTGATAAAATAATGCCATAGATGCCACAGACTAAAATAGTATTAGTACAGATACTATTACAGTAATAGTATTTTTGCACTAATGAGGTGTTTCCAAAGAGCTATTAGTTGATAATTTGGTCTATCTCAGCAATTTGTATATCAAATTTTGAAGAAATTTGAGAAAACTGAGAAAAATGGAGGACAAAAGAATAAGTTGCAAAAAAAAATCTATATACAGCAGACGAACAGTATCTGAAAGCCAAAAACAGGGAGAAAAGGCTGAGGAATGAAAATTACACAAGAACTGGACTGAAAGTCAGTGGCATCAATTCTTATTGAGTTTTAAATGTAAAATGTTTGTTTCAAATCATTCAATATTTACAAGGGCGTCTACAGCCGTCTGGAAGTCATGGTGGAGGCTCTGTCATAATTTGGGGCTGAATTTCAGCCGGTGTTCTTGGGGGATGTTTTCTAAATGTATAGAAGTCTACCATCAGATTTTAATTCACCATGAATGCCATCCACAAAGCTTCTGATCATTTTCAGACACACTGCCAACACTATCAGTCATGGACTGACCTCCCCAGAGCCTTGACTTCAACATTATTGAAGCAATGTTGAATCATCAGAGTAAATGGAACAAAAAGACAGCCAACATCCAAAGAAGAACTTTGAATGGCTTTTACAGAAGTCTGGAGAACTACTGCTGAATGCTCCTTAAAGAAATTACAAGAGGTAAGTAAGCTTGTCTAAGAAAGTTCTGGCTGTGTTGAAAATGTCAAACCAATTATTGACTTTCAAGCTCGTTAGAATTGTAGAAAATATGTTTTGTTTTTGTTTTTGTTGCCTTATATCCTATATTTCCATCTATGTTTGCACTTATTTGAATAAATCGCTACACTTATTTCACATTTTCCTAACAAAACCTAAAGAAATTAAGGATGGCTTGAGACTATGACACCATACTGTCTATATGCCATATTAGAGCAGAGATATATGACAGCGAGAGAGACCAAGAGGATATTGGCTGTGTAGAGTATTCCTCAACCTTGAACAGGCAACCCTGTGATCCTACACCATATCTCATGTTGTGCCTTAGATTTGTAATCTGGATAATCCCATCACTTCCTTCAATTCCACATGACATGAGTGCCGCACAACAGTTTAAAAGGAAAACTATATAAAAAAAAGATTTATGTGAGGGTGGCTCATGTCTCTGTCACAAAATAAACAGTGTTATATCTCAGAGTAAAAACAAAGGCACCAACACAAAAATGTGAGTTACTGAAGGTATTAGATTGGTTTGAGGACCAGCCCCAGACAGCACACACAGTTCAAATAATTAAAAGTATTAAGTCACAGAAAGAATCTGCAAAAAAACCAACTTTGCAGCACAGCTCAGACTGTAACTACCAGATGTAACCTGTCAGATGCTTCGTCTCTGCACAAATACTGCTTGGAGTTTATACCGATGTCACACGAATGACAACCTCTCCCGAATCACTGTCCTGGCTGAGGTTGTTTCGGGGTACCATTCTGTGGCAAAAGGGTGCCAAACACAGGCAAGTCCACGGATGTGATCCCAGCTGGGTCGGGTGTAAGGGGCCGCTGGGCCCAAAAGTGGCCAAAGGTAACCAAAGTGTCCTGGGGGCCAGCGAAGAGTGACCAGTGCTCGTCTCCTCCATGTCCTTGGTCTTGTCATAGCTTTGAACATCCCAGTGGAGGTTCACTGCTCGCCAGCGCATAAACACGTTGTACACTGCTGCCCCCTCGTGGATGATCAAGCCTGTTATGATGACAACAATTGACACGTTTATAGGAATTTTGATTTTAGGCAGTTTGTCATGACCAACATTCAGGAAATCTTCACTGTAAGGTTTTCTAAGTGCTTGAGTTGAGTCGATTTATTTTTCAAGTTGTTGAAGACCTTTCACCTCTCATCTGAAAGCTCTAGCAGCTGATGGGAAGTCCCACATATTCAAACTGCAGTGGTGTTGGTGCCTTGCTGACTGTCCTGAGTGCTGTCGGTCTACCTGGTAATCATGTGAGCCATTATGGTCACGCGAGCCAAGGTGCAAATTCTTAAATGTCTTCACCAACTTAAAAAGTAGTCCAGTTGCTTTCAACTTGAGCACATAGAACTACCACGACCTGGATGACTGTTAACCTGCACAGACAGATATAAAATATTTTGCAAGTATTTTGTCTTTTTGTTTCCTCTTACATATGTCATCTTTCCTCACTTTAAAGTTGCCCTTCTCTCCTTCTCTTCCAACAACATCTATAAACTATTTGCTGAGAAAGCTGTTTTATTTTTTGTGTGTGGATCTAGAGTAACACCAAAGCCTTTGTTGA